AATGACATTAAACTTTATTTCAACTTTAAATTTAAAAAAACTTTATTAAATATAATATACCTAACTTAAAATAATAAAAAATAGGCTTGTAATATCCATAAGCACGAATTAGTAAATAAAAGTTAAAAATAGAAATATAATTATTATTAAATTATGAATAATTTAATAGAGCTAAAACATAAGACCAGGTCAAAGGCCGGGGGAAAGCTGTCCGAAGGCCAGGTAAGAGGGGGTTGGGGGCAAGCCCCCCAAAATTTCCCACCCCCCTATAAGAAAATCCTGGCTACGCCACTGATGTGAATGATTTACTACTTCCATATTTTATTTTATTTGAAGATAATCATGAATGCCAAATTTAAACACTTATATAAATCCTCAGAAACTAATATTACTCATATATATAAATATTTAAGGCTGATGGCTTATTACAAAATATTATTATTGATAATGAGGGCAATCATTGTACACAAATTAATTATGAAGAATACCCTTATTCCAAAATATTTTATATACAGTTTTTAATTACCATTGAATATTTAAATATGTCAAAGTTATAGCATTTATTTATAAATATTCAATAAAAAATGTTTTTTGATTATATTGTATAAGTGAGTGATTTGTATTTGGAAGAAGACTGCTAAAATGACTTAAATCACATTTTATAAAAATTCATTAAACAATAATAATTTTTATTATAAAAATATACAAAATTATAAATATGAAGATAATATACAAAATTATAAATATGAAAATAATATACAAAATTATAAATATGAAAATAATATACAAAATTATAAATATGAAGGGAAAATTTCATTTAAATTCAAAAATTTGTTTCTGATTGACTATATCATAACATATCTTGTGTGTTTGGCTCTAAATCCTAAGATATAAATTATTATATAGTTCTAATTTAATGTTATAATACTTGTGATGATATTTGTACATTTAACATATCTTGGATGTTTGGCTCATAATCCTAAAATATTGATTACTACATAGTTCTAATTTCTTGTTATAATACATGTAGAGATATTTGTATATTAATATCATCCTTAGATTGTTTCAACTAAAACTTGCTTCAGTATGCTTACATATATACTCCACATTTTCTTTTAGCTAGTAAAAATCTTCAATAAATTTAAGGTGCAGCACCTGAACCTAAAATATAAAATAATATTTATATAATCTCGTCCCATTTGACTTTACTTGTAGTTGTATCTCTATATAAGGTCACTAATACATCACAAATGTTTATAAGGTCTTATATTTTCCATCAACCACAAATGTCTATAGGGTCTTATATTTTCCATCAATTGAAATTCGTTCGCCATTTTTATTGGCGCAATTTGCAAAAGTTTAATAATAAAAAGATAAAAGTTTTACGAATCGTAAAATTTTTAATAATCACGTAATTTGCGCAAAATCGAAAAAATCATTTAGGCCAACATTTTAATTTTCCATTAAAAATGGCTTATATTATTTTTTTCGCTAGATTCGCGCAAATTGGGCGATGCAATTATTATTCAATTTTTGATATTTAGGATACAAAATTTATTTATACATTTGTTTGTGCAATGTTAAAATAATTATAAAAAATAAGATATAAAACAGAAAATTTTTTTAGTGTTAAAATTTAAAAATAACAAATTAAGCGAACATGTAACACTAATAAAAATCAAAATATTTATGAATTTGGGCCATTTTTTTAATCCGACCCAAAATTTAGATCGTTTACCTGACTCAAAATCGATGACAATTTTTTCGATTAAGAGCCGACTCGAGTTGGCTCCAATAAATATATTAATAAAATGAGTAGAAAAGCTAATTAAAGTCTCTTTCAGACTAATTTATTTAATAATCATTTTAATGGGGCGGGTCAGAAATATTTATAATTTTAGCATCAAATTAAAGCTAATAAAAATAATTTGGTATCAATACTGATCATCTTTCCAAATAGGTAAGCCTAGATCTTAAGGGGTCTGGAATGACTTTAACTTTTGACGACGTAAAAATTCAACATAGGTATCAATCGAAAGTTAGTTAAAATATATTTTATTAATAATCATGGATCCTAGAATCATGAGGAATATTTAAAATAAAAACAAATTAAATTTATAGTTTTAATTTTAGCATTATTAAAAATGAGTGTTAAATATTAGGAAACAGTTTGCCTTCATTAAATTTTCAAAATTATTCAAATTATTTTAAATTATTGTTAAATATTTAAATAAATATGAACTGTTAAAAAATTGTTAAATATTTTAACTTCTCGGTGATTTAATTTTAAAAAAAATATATCAATTAACCTAGAAAATTAATAATAATAAGAATTTAAATTATTTTTTTTAAATAAATAATTGGAATTTGTGACTAAAATAAATAATGGAATTTGTGACTAAAATAAATAATGGAATTTGTGACTAAAATAAATATTGTGTGTGATGTAAAAACCGTAGGTCCAGTCCAAATATTATTTCATTTTTAAAATTTTGGTTCCCTTAAAATTAAATTTATCAATTAACCTAGAAAATTAATAATAATAAAAATTATAATTAAATTTTTGTGACTAAAATAAAGAATGCTATGCATTAAGGAGCGTCAGACCAGACCTAGAAAATTCCAAAAATTAATATGATTTTATTTCTAAAATTTAAGATTCAAAATTTTAATATCTCGGCGATTAAATTTAAAAAATTGTTTTATCAATAACCTAGAAAATTTATAATAATAAAAACTTAAATTATATTTTTGAAATAAATCAGTGAATTTGTGACTAAAATAAATATGGTATAAACCGTATCAATGTGTTTAAAATGATTAAATTTATATAAGCCATATAAATAAAATTATGTATATAAATAGTTTATAGTAAATCTAGATGGAGTCCTTTTCTAATTAATTCAGAATTCAAATTTACCTATGATATGTATAGTAACGTCAATATAAAATCAAATTATAGTTCTGACCCAAACAAGAGGCGGAAAAAATGTAATGAACTAAAGGTTCTAGCCTAGTTCATCAGCTCCTTTTTGTTTCAAGATTAGATGCATTATCTAAAACTGATAGCGGAGTTTGATTGATTGTAGATTTCTTGGTGCTTCGAAAATTAAAATAAATATATCAATGAGATGCGAAATATCCGCCCATTCTCTGCATATATTGAAGATCCTTTTTCAGACGCCGTTGTCTGCAAGCTGGATTTTAAAAAGGCTTTTAATTCAATATCAAGAAATTATTTTTAAACATTATTTATGAAAAATTTCTAATGTATGCAATATTTATTGAACAGTCATTGGTCATAGAACACCTCTCAAATTTGGGTATTATACAATTCGTTCTGGGTAGGGTTTAACAAGGAATCCATAGCATCGTTCCCAAAGATTCCCAAGGTAACAAATATGGGCATAAAAATGGCATTCTTAAACTATTTGTTCTTTTTTAAAGTTTGGGCATGGGGGTTGGGTAAAGTTTGAAATGCTTGAATTAGCCGAGATATCCATACATGTATTGTCCCAGTTTAGGGGAAGGCCCTTAGACCAATGTTTTAAATTATATAAATGTTTAGAAAAAGATGAAGGGTCTGAATATTAAAAATAGTGTGTGATTGGCCTTAAAAATATCAATTAGAGTGGCATGGCCGAGTATTCAAAGCCTCCACTTATAGCGAATTCCATTTAATGGGGTTTAAAAAAATCGAAAGTGGCTAATGCATAATTTATTTAACAATATCTTGTAGATATAACTTCTGATATTATCGAGGTCTCCTTCCTATTTTAAAGGATTAAATGGCTATCATTATTTATATAATTCTTGGATTATATTATTTTTTATTTTAGGATTGAAGGCCTCAATAATTTTCCCTTAAGGGTGTAGTGTGATAATTTGTGTGGAGATAATTATGAGGGTGCTAGTCAGATGCAAAACTCTTGATCTTGTGTGAAATTAACTTTGCCCGAGAGTTCCAATCCCCATGAACCATATTCTAATACAACATTAAACAAGAATAAAAATAAAAATGAAATTAATTTATAAGAACTATATTTTGAATCTTAACATTCACTCTGAAAACTAGGTTAAAATTAATATTTAATTAAAAAATAAGATAAGATATAATATATAATTAAATTATGGACAAAACCTTAACTCAATATTAGTTTTCAATAAAATTTAATCCATTTTTATGGGTAATATCATCTCTGACATCATAATTTTGTACTTATATCATATTTTGCACTCATATTATAATTTTTTACTTATCATAATTTTGTACTTATATAATTTTTCACTTAAATCATAAATGCATTTATATCATCATAATTTTACACTTATATCATGATTTTGCTCTTATATCATAATTTTACATTTATAACTAACTTATATTTTAAATAGTAAAATGTAACGTTAAAAAATCATTACTTTAATAGATATTTTTCAGAAATAACAAATGACCTCTCTTAAAAAACGCCGTTAGTATATAGAACATAGAGTTAATATAAAAAAAATTGCCAAATTTGTTTAATAATGTAATATTTATATTTAAAGAATCATTGGATTATATTTGTAAGGGTTGGTTGGTGAAAATTATAATATATAATATTTGCTCACAATTGCAGAGCTTATTTTTAAACTTTAATCTATTTGAATTAAACAAGAATTTTACATCAAAAATGACATAATAATACTTTTTCCAATGAATTGCCAAAAAAATTGGGTTAAGAAAAATTAAAAAGTTTTTTATTACTTTTGATCTGTGGCCCTAAAAAGGTCTTTTTTTATTGTATTCCTCTCCAATTTTTAAGATTAAAACGTGAAGAAATGGCATTTTAAATTTGAATGTTATATAAAAAGCAATTCTTTATTTGACTAAGCTATTCTCCTTTTAATGTATAAACTTAAGTTATTCCTCTGAGCATTAAATTATTTTTCTTTAGAACGATTAATCAATAAAATTTATAGGGAATCATAAGAAAATATTACTATATCTTTTTTATAATCAGAATGGTTTTCCATCAAATCAAAATCCATATGTATTTAATGGTGACTATGTGGATCGAGGTAAAAATTCATTAGAAGTAGCATTAATAATGATGTCGTATTTTATATTGTATCCTGACTCTGTTTACCTTAATAGAGGTAATCATGAAGATTGCCTAATAAACCTGAGGTAAAATTATAATTCAAATATTTATCATTTCATTTATTAAGGTATGGTTTTCAAAAAGAAATAATCTACAAATACAAAGTAAATAAAGCAATTTGTTATAAAATTAAATTAAATAATGTAGAAACATGAATCTGGGAAAATAATAGCATTGTTTTCAGATTTTTTTCGTTGGATACCCTTAGGTACAATAATAGATAATAAGATTTTTGTCTGTCATGGGGGCATATCAGAAGATACAGATCTTGCCTATATTCAAACAATAAAAAGATATAAAGTAATAATTTTCCAAATTAAAATTTACCACGATTAATTTTTTCATAAATTCAGCAGTAGCCCCATTAGGGGGGTGAGTGGATCGAACCCCTAAAAATTTGATGAGCCCCCTCGATTTTTCAAAATATTTTTTTTATACCACTAAAAAGGGATAATTTTGGATAATGTTAGCTAAATGGAAAAATATAATTTTGGATAATGTTAGGTAAAAAAAAGGTTAATTTTGGATAATGTTGTAATTAATTTTAGATAATGGTAGCTAAAAAGGGGTAATTTTTTGAGTCCCCTGAGGGTGTAAAGGCTAATAACGCCCCTAAAATGCAGTAATGCAGATAGAGAGTTTGAACTATCAATAAAGTCATATTTATTGGAGAGTCATAAAATTGACCAATAAAACTTTAAATTTTTAATAGTTAGTATTATATGCTCCAATAAAAATACAATAATATAGTTAATTGTAAATAAGTCATCTTTAAATTGACAAAAATATTTGTCCTTCGTCTCACTTCAAAATCGTTTAACTAACAAAATTTTCATGATGCATTTTTTGCAAGTTTATTAATGTTTTCTATCATATCTAAAAAGCTCTTAGGTAATAATCAATGGAAATGCCTTATTTCATCATTATAATTATTTGAAACTTCTATAAAGCTTGGGCAAAAATATGTATATATATTCCACAATCTACTTTATAATTTTTGCATTATTTGAATGATTGTTTATTCATGTTTTAGATAAGATTAGGTATATTTCATTGATTTAATATTTATTTTAGAAATTTTATTTTAATTATAAATAAACTAGTAAATAGCCCATCAAAAATGACGGAGAATGAGAATTCCCTCCTTTATTTAAAAATAATATCTAATTTTATTCTTTATTACCACTCCCCTCTTCAGGCCAGGACCAATCCTTAAAAACCAAATGTAAATGCTATGTTTTGAGTCAAAATATATTTAAAGCTTTTGCTTGATACCCATAACAATATTATTTGTTAATATATTAATGATCACATATGCCTAATATTTAATATTAAAAAATTCCCAAGCAAGGTCCACGGCCATAATAATTTTGAAAAAATTTCCCCAAGCCAAATCAAAGATCATGATTTTGATAGTTGAGAACTGAAATAAAATATTTAAAAAATCATAATGAATTTAAAAATACAATCAAAATCAAAGTTTCATGGTCATTGAATTTTTGATCAGGCCGAGCCCAGGCCTGCCAAAAAATTTGGTTTAGGTCAATGTCTGACCCATAGTTAATATCAAAAAAAAATTCCCAAGCATCCAAGCTGATAATAATTTTGAAAAATTTTCCTCAAGTCCAGCACAATATAATTTATAAAAATATTTTTCAATACCTTCCTGACCCATAATAATTTTGATTTTTTCCCAAGCCTGGAGATAGGTAAATCTCTAAAAACCATATCAATTTTTTTTCTTTTTAATCCCGCTCAATCCTACTTCAAACCAAGGCCAACCCATCAAGACTAAGAGTGAATACTATTTTTTGAGTAAAAATATATTTAAATTAGCTTTTACCTGAGACCCATATAAATATTCTGTTAAATATTACACCTATGCCTAATATCTATTTTTAGAAAAATTCCCAAGCCAGGTTCATGCACGTCATAAGTTTGAAAAATTTTCTCAAGCTTGCCAAAGACCATAACAATTTTGGTATTTGAAGAACTGAAATAAAATATATAAAAGTCATAATTCATTTAAAAATACAATCAGAATTGGGGGACATTGTTGTTAAATTACAATAGAAATAAATGGCAAAATTTTATGAAAATTGCATAGGACTTGGTTTTTTGATCAAGCCTGGCTATGTCTGATAAAAAAAAATTACAGGCCAATGTCTAGCCCATATTTAAAATTAATAAATTTTCAAGCATCTCTATTTTAAATTTTACCCAATATGATTTTTATCACAATTTTAATTTTATTGTCCTCATCATTACGTCATCTCATAATTAGGTCAGCATTATGTCATATTATAATTGTGTCAAGTCATCGTGACATCATGATGAGAAAAACCATCCAATAATTTGTGATAACTTAGTTAGGCCAAGGCCGCGATAGTTTTCTTTAGTTTACTAAATTTAACTTTTGGTAGTTATTATAGAAAAAAATTAAAACTAAATATATTTATAAATTTCCTAATTTTTAAACAAAATATCTTGCTATAACATAAATAAACTTTGGTATTTAAAGGTTGTAACCGAATTTTCTTAAATAGTGTCAAACCTGACTAATTTGGGCACTTTTGGGATAAAGATTTATATTAGGACTCAAAATTTGGTCAAATTAGAGAGGCCCAAATTATCAAGAGGAAATAAAAATAAAATTACATATATAAAGCGTGTTATGATTTAAATAAACTATTTCTATTACTGTAAAAAGCTGAATAGTAAAATAATCTATTACTTACATATATTATATTCTATAAGGTTAAATAAAATATATATTATATTCAACATTTAGCCAGCAGAAGAATATTAATCTAATTTTTCTAAGATTATTCAATTAAACAGTCTCCGATTTTTGTATTTATAAAATTAGGGGTTAAATATATTTTTATTTAAGGTGACAATATGTGAATAAATACAGATAATTTTTAATTTTTCCATATTAACATTTAAACTCAAATTCCCAAATTTTTTTAAACGGGCTCAGGTCGGACTAAAACAAAAAATTCGGGTTAGGGTGGAAACACTAAAATTTTTAAATTTGGGCTTAGGTCGGACTCGGGCTGGTGAAAAATTACTTTATAGATCTCTAATTGAGATAGATCAGAATAAAAGTTAGTCAAATCGAGAATGAGTTAATAAGAATATTGATGGTCTGAATCGCAGAGTTGCCAGATCTCCGTTTTTTAAATTTTGTTTACGCCAAAATATGCCCTCTATTGAATTACTTTTCTCCCGATTTTCTACGCTCTGACACGATTTATCTAAATAAATTCTCCCGATTTAATTTTCTAAAATATAAAATAATTAAAAATAGCTTAACTAGAAATATACACTACTATTTTTTATTTAAATTTAACAGAAATTTAAAAAGGCATCTTGTTTTTTTATCCATTGAGATAAGAAAAAACAAAGATTTCTAAAAAAATATATTTTTCGTTCCAAAACTTTCCAATTTAAAATATGATAAATCTTTAATTTTGAAACAAATTGTTATAATAAATAATATAATAATTACTTCCTCTAATTCTGATGTTGAAAATAATTCTTATGTAAATTTGAAATAAGAATTTTATATACTTTTTAGAAATCAATCTATAAAATATATTTTAGAAGTTAACAATTATTATTTAAAATTTTACATTTAAATAGCCTAAGAATTTTTGATTAATTAAATAAAGCTTTCTCATAATATTTCATTTCTTTTCCAATTCCCATTAATCTAAATTATATATAAATTACAGTTTAAAGACAAGTTTAACATCCAAATAAATTGCTGTATCAAAATACCTGGATTTGCATTTATTCAAAGGTCAAGAAGATAAAAAAAGTGGTTTAAATGCAATTTATATAATATGCATGTATGATATACAATACAAAATTTAACATCAGCTTAAGGAGTCCTTGATTTAAAAAGGCCTTCAACAAGGCAGAAATATATTTCCAATTTAAAAAATAAGGAATCATCAAATAATATCCAATCATAACTTCAAAAATAATTTATGTCGATAACTTCAATAGATTAAACATTCGCTTAGTTATTTATCTATAGATTGTAATATAACTTATACCTTCCTTCCTGATTCAAAAGAGTCAAAAGCATATAAAGTAGAACAAATGCCTCAATAAATCATAGTTCCCGAAACTGAAACACAGCTTAGAGGATATGAAATAAAATCATCCATTTTCTCTATTAACGGATGCATCAAATAAATAAAATATTAAAAAATTCCAAAAAATGTTGTGCTATTTCAATAAAGATAGAAATGATTCAATAAACTTCTAATAAAAAATTTATCGGACTTGGGAAAATTGTAGGATATTGCTTCTATACTTGTGCGGCGCTTTGAAAATTGCAACCTTTCACTATCAAATGTATTTTTTGTGCCTATCAAGTGTGACGGAAATAGGCAAAGTGTAATGCGGAATTATTAGTTTTAAACAAAATTATCCTTGGTTGCCTGTGGCATACAATTTACAATGCAGGAAGTAAGAGGCATGTTTCATTATCAATAGATAAAAATAATTGCTATTAAATGTTATGCCGAATTCAGCAGATCCACAAACAGGGTAGAATTGTTCCAACAAGATAACTATCATTAATACGAAATGAATTATTTCAGGAATTTTAAATATAATAAATTAATAATATATCGAATTTGGCTCATGAAATAAATGGGTACTTTTTTTCAAAGAACATTGAACCAAATTTTGAAAAAAATTGCAATATAATACGTTACCACATTCAAACGCTAATTTAGAGCACATTATTAGTTTAATAAATAATTTTGAAGGAAAGATCGTAATCGGTTATCTTTATCAGCTTTAGAAGCGGAGTTGATGATCAAACATTTTAAGTAACAAAAATTAAAAATTTAATTAATAACAATTTGAAATATGAATATAATTATTTTTTAAATAATATATATTAATTTTTTAAATAATATATATTAATTTTTTTTATTAAAAAATAATCTACTTATATTTTCAACATTAATAAAATAATAGTGATTTAAAAAAAAATATACGATCTTCCTTTATTTTACTGTTGCGTATTAAATATACTCATTTAAATAAAAAAAAAAATAACAGGGAAAAAAAATTAATACCATTTATTATTAGTAATTTTTTTTTTGAATTGTGGCTAAATTCTCCCGCTTTTTGTTTGAAAGAATCTGGCAATCCTGATTTTAAGTTTTTAGCTAAGGTTCATTTGATAGAAATTAGTTTACCAATTTTTTTATTAGGTCTTGGGCTTGTTGAACAAAAGTTGTAAGTTTAGTGATAAACTCCATAACGGAATATATAAATTCGATATATCACTGTATTTATAAAATTTTAATTTCTCTGAGTCTATAAATCTGCTTAAGTTAGAGCCACGGATTTTAAAGTAAAATAATAAAAAAATCAAATTTTGTTTTTGAATATGCATAATTTTGTATCCCATTGATAGAATATAATGCAATTTATTTTTCTTATAGATTACATTATAGCTAGAAAAAAGTCATATTATAAAATCTTTCTTTTTTTTAATGAAATATCATATTTTATTTTATAATATATTTAACTTAATATTCTCAAAGTTTTTAGAATTTGATGTCTTGATTTTAAAATTGAGATTTAAATTTGATAAAAAATTAAATAGTACAGTTAAAAAAGCTTTAAATCATTATATTTGAAATAGGGGAGACCGGGAAAAAACGATAGGCATTTTGTATATTTACCATAAAAATTTTAAACAAGAGTCAAATTAAACAAATTATAGATCAATAGCCCCATCCCTCATCTATAAGATAAAAAAAAGTGTAGCCCTCTATCTATAATATTTTTGGAGCTATGATTAGTTAAAAAATTACTCATTATCCTGGGTTCAAAGTAAAATGGATAAGCACTAAGGTAAAGTGGTTAAAAAAATATTTGACACATATTTTTTGTTTTATTTAACAAATATTACAAATTTAAGATATATTTATGATTTTTATTTACAAACTAATAAATACAATAAGGACATGTTTCATTTTAATAATTACCAATACCAGTTCTATAGACTTAAAATGATATTATTAAATTCAATTAATATCATAATTTTAATAATGCTCAAATCAATATTAATTTGGTAACCTTAATAAAAATGTTCAATGAAATATATAATGTATTTCATCATTTTAATAATGTTCAATTCAAATATCAATATTAATTTGGTAACTTCAATAAAAATGCTCAATTGATATTGTATTTCATATTTAATAATGCTCAATTCAAATATCAATATTAATTTGAGAACTTTATTAGTAATGTTCAATTGAAATATATAATAGTTAATACTCAATTCAATTACAAATAATTTAATTTAATTACTTGTTTAGGTATTCGTAGGTGTAGCCAGGATTTTCCTAAGGAAGGGGGAGGGAATTCAAAAATTATTGGAGGCTTCGCTCCCAGACGCCATTTTGTACTGGCCTTCGGCCCGCTTTGCCCGGCCTTCGGCCGGGTTACCTATCTATATATATTCATAAAATATTTTTACAAGATAGGAGGTTAGTTCAATAAAAAAAATAAGCCTGAAAGAAATATGAAATATATTTTTATTAGTTTATATAAAATATAATAAATTACTTGTATATACATTAATATAAAAGCATGGTAATCATTTATTCCAAACAAATATAAGAAATTTATTTATAAAAAGTAAGTAGACAAATAGTTGATATTCTTCTATTATATAGAATTGGTTACAAAATACTTAGTAAAATTCCACTTTTACAGACATATTTGACAGTTAGATATATTACAGTTAATATTTTAACAAATTTTACTAATCAATGCTCTTCTTGATAATAAATACAGCAACAATTTGCATTCAATTATTTAGCGCCTTCTATTTATTTAAAAAAAAATGATATTAAAAATTAATCGTTATATTATTCATCCCACAATGTCTTTAAACGATATTTTCTGATGTCCTTATAAATATTTTATAGTTTTCTGTAAAATATATAATTCGTTATATTGGTAAATTTCCATATGATAATTGATAAAATTAGAAATACTGTAAATCTACGACATATAATATTCCACTGTTTGTATTGCTTTAATTTTTTTATTTGATCAATGATTTAATTTTATCAATAGTTTTGTAATGATATTTTACTTTTATTAGGATAAATAAATTAAAATTACTCAATTTATAAAAAAATATATTTGATATATTATATTATTTAGTAATTTTATGGTTAATTATAATATATTTCATTTTTGTCTTATGACTTATGTTTAGCTTATGTTTCATTTCTTTAAAAACATTTTTGGTTCACTTTTTTTATATATAAATGCTTTTTCCAAAAATGTATAGATGAATAGTTTTAGTTTAAGAAAATATCAACTTTTACATTCTTTCTTTCAAATTATTGTTTAAGATATATGCATACATTTTTGGGGGTCAGGGAGTTGGAGGTAGGACTAAGGGGAATCATTTTTATTAACTTAATATGATATTCACAAAAAGTGATAAATTTCTGAAGGGAGGGAAATTATTAATCCCATGTAGTCACTCAATCTAGATTCTTCTTCATTTGTAAATATTTGTTTATGATTACCTGAACTTTTAATACCATTTTTATATCTTCTTCTCAACGTTGTATAAGGTATGTTATATTTTTTAGCAGAAAAATTCAATGAAGTATTATTTGTTATTTTATATTTTATGACTTCATCTATTATACTTACATCTCTGATGGTTTTTCTTTCAAATTTCTCATTATTATAATAAATGAATGAATGAAATTTATTGTGAATAATTATATATTTTAACCGTTTTACCTATAAAAGCTTTACCCCAAGGTGACATATAATATAAATATCGTTATTGCCTAACTTCTAGTATAGCTATAGATGTCAGATAAATTTTATTTTATAGCTAATACATTAAAGAACTTGTGTGCCAAATTTTGAATTCTGAGGATATATATATTTTACTAAAAGCAAAATATACTAGGGAATGAATTATATATTTTTTGGGTAAAAAAGAGTTTTTTGACAAAATATATAAAACCAGGGAAGTTTTTTAAAAGATGAACATAGTTAAAAAAATTTTTTATAGATATTCCTATAAGTTTTAATGAATTAATCATAAGTTTAATATATTTAAAATATATGGTGATTTAAATGAGAATTTGATTGAAAAAAGATAAAAATAGGGGTTGACATTTTTTATACAAAATAAATGTTATTTACTATTTTGTGCTCTCATAATAAGAGTTTCTGTACGAGAACATCAGCTAACTCTGTATATAAGTATAATAAAAATGTACCTGTATCCAGATACAGTTGTAAATTGTATCGGTATCTGGGTACGTTTTTAGGCTATGTACCTATATCTAGATTCATATAATAAATATCTTTTAATAACGCGGCAAATTATTCATTTATATCATACATACTTTAATTTATAAATTATTCCCCTGAGTTTTTTCGGGTTTTTTCCTGGCCTTTAGGTTATTCCTATCTGGATTATGCTTTAAAATTTTATAAATTAATAATAATTCTATTTAAAAAATAATAAAATATTGGAAACATATATTTATATTTTATATTTAGTACATATCCATGCTTAAACCAATAGCGGATATGACTTTAATTGCAAATAATAATAGTCAATCTTCTATTACAAGTCTTAAAAGCAATGCTAGTAAGCAAATTACCTTTGATGAAGATGTAAAAGAATGGAGACAGGTGTTATTATATATAAACTATTACTCAATAAATAATCTAAGTTATTAGATCTTTTGTGGAATGATCCAATGAATAAAATGGGTCAAATATTTAACTATGTTCGAGGAGGTGGTATCATGTTTGGGCCTGATATAACAAAAGATTTCTTAACTCGACATAATTTATCATTGCTTATACGATCACATGAATGCAAACCTAGAGGATATGAATTTACACATGATAATAAAGTTTATATTCTTTATTTTTTAAATAAACCAAACTCTTAAACCAATTATATGAAATATTTAGTCAATAAAATATCTTCTGTCCAAAATTAGTGGCTCCATTCGACATTTTTAGTATTTTTAAGTTAGGATCAGATTTTGAGTTATTAAATATAAAATGTTTCCCATTCAAAAAGAAAAAGTTCCAATCAAAAAAAAAATATAAAAGGAAAAGGTCCGATCAAAAAAAGAAAAGGTCCGATTAAAAATGGAAAAGTGTTAATCAAAATAGGAAAAGTTCCAAAGAATTAGGAAAAAGTCCGATCAAAAAAGGAAAAGTGTCAATCAAAAAAGGAAAAGTTCCAATGTCTTGGAAAGTAGTTCGATCACAAAGGAAAAGGTTTAATCATATAAGGAAAAGGTTCAATCAAAAAAGAAAAAATGTCAATCAAAAAGAAAAACTCCCATTTAAAAAAGGAAAATTGTTATTTATCCATTTTTCTTAAATTTGATTTTTTAAATATTTTCTACTTATTTTATTTATAACTTTTTGCAATTTCTCTATTTATTTTTGATCTTTTTCTTAATCTATTCTCATTTCTTTTTTCATCATTTTGTTTGTCTTTTTAAAAATAACCGATCAAAAGGAAAATGGTCAATCAAAAAAAGAAAAGGTCAATCAAAGAAAGAAAAGTTAGGCTTAGGAAAAAATCCGAACAAAAAAGAAATGTCAAACAAAAAAGGAAAAAGTTCAAAAAGTTTCAAAGATAGGAAAAAGTCTAATCGTGAAAGGAAAAATGTCAAACAAAATAGGGAAAGGTTCTATTAAAAAAGGGAAATGTCAAAAAGAAAAATGTCAATCAAAAAGGAAAATGTCAATCAAAAAAGGAAAATTTTTAAAAGGATAGAAAAAGTGGCCATCAAAAAAGGAAAATTTCCATTCAAATAATGAAAATCGTTAATTTTTTAAATATTTTCAAGAAAAGAATAAAAAAAAATTTGACAATTTTTCTTATATTTTTAAGTCTTCTTAAAAATATTTTATCATCTTATTTTATTCAAACTTTTTGTCATCTCTTTAAGTCATTTTTAATCTTTATTTTTCTTATCTTTTCTGAATTTTTTTTTATCTTTTAATTTTTGATTATTCTTCCTTTTTAAAATTAATTTATTTATTTTTCCTGTCATTTTCTTCACTTCTCTATTTTTTATCTCATTTTTAACAATTTTTTCCTATTTTTTCGCCCAACATAACAATTTTTTCATATTTTTCTCCTAATTTTTTATTTATCTTTGGCAATCAATTTTTTTATAGCATATCAAATTATTATAACAATTAGGATGTATATAATGAGAAACAAAATATATTAATCATCAATAATTTTCCTTCTTATAATTTGAAATATACGTCCCCATATTTTCGAATAATTTTTTGCATTCTCGTCAGATATTCCTCTCTTCCCGTGCTTTATAAAACGAATTAATTCCTTTTTTATTAGGATTTTGTTTCTGACATAATTTCCCATAAATAAGGCTATATGGTGGTAAATATTTTATTGCTCTTCTTCCTTTCGATATGATAATTGTATATGATGAAATGGAATATTATCCATTACAAAAATCATATTCATCATATTACTTTCTTCAAAAAGATTTAGTATTTTATTTACAAAAGGGCTAAAGTGTGTAGCGTTGTAAGGGCCATCAAGAACATTAAATCTGAATATTCCCGCAATCATTTAGAGCAGAAATGTTAAATAATTTATTGTCTTTATCCCTCTTTTTAATAGCCTTTTACTTTATTTAACTGCCCATAATCATCGACAAATTGATATTAAAAACCGCTCTCATAGATAAAAATTAATTTTTCTTTCATATATGTTACATCCGCAATACAATATGGGTTTTTTTGCAATCCCGATATTTGCTTCTGTATTTTCTCTAAATGATGGTGTTATCCTTTTGAAACTCTATACCTAAATTCAGATATTAACTTGATACCGTATTTTTTGATATTTCTACATCATATCTTATTTAATCATTTTGGAAAATTTTTTTTAAGGATAAAGTGCAATCCAAATTTATACAATTTAAAATTATTCTGAATGTTCCTGATTTAATTTCTTGCCTGCACGTAAGCTTCCTTAGGTTTATATTTATATCAGTTTTTTAGCTTATTATAAAACATTATATATTTATAATACTATCCGTTTTTAACACATAAAAAAAACTGATTGTTTGCCATAGATAAATAAAATTAAGTGAAATTTGAAAAATAAAAATATAAGGAGAAAAAAATCTTAAAAAATTGTTATATAGGATGAAAAAAAGGAAAAAAAAGGAAAAAAAGGAAAAAAAATGTTAAAAATGACATAAAAAAAGAAGTGAAGAAAATAACAGGGAAAATAAATAAATTATTTATAAAGAGACAAAAAAAATTATAAATGGGTAGAAAAATAAATTGAGAAAAGATAAGAAAAAAAAATGATAAATAACTTAAATAGATTATAAAAAGTTAGAAATAAAATAAGAAGAAAAATAAAAAAAAAACTAAAAATTTTAAAAAAGTAACTATTTTCCTTTTTTGAATGGCTTTTCCTTTTTTATTTGACACTAAGCCTTAGGAACCTTTCCTTTTATTGACACTTTTCATTTTTTGACTGACCCTTTTCCTTATCTGCTCAAACCTTTTCCTTTTATGATTGATACTTTTCAACAATTAGCACATAGAGCCCTTAAATTCTGGATTCACGATTAACATTTAGAATTATTAAAATAATTATGAAAAAAAATTTGATGTAATTTATTAAATAATATGCGAATTATAGCTTTTAACAATATTTTCTGCTTCCAATTACTATGAAATGGGTAGTAATAATGGTGCTTTCGTTCAAATTGACCCTGATCAAAATTTGCATTTCGTCGAATATTTAAGCACAGAACATATTTACAAATATTCTCTTAATCAAAGGTAATTATTCTTTTTTTATATGTTATAGGAATGTAGGGTGATGATTTTTATATGCATTCTCATATCTACACTGATAAATAAGCATTTATTTCATAAACCAAAGTTGGAATAAATATCATAATCAAAATTCTAAAAATATCCCAAGTAGTTTATTTATACTTATTAATAGCATATCTAAGTCATGTCTTTCTACTTGTTTGTTAATTTCGTCTCATTCTATTTCTTATTTCAATATCATTATTTCCCTCACATGTATCGAGAGGATACCGATATATTTATTGGAGGTTGGCTTCATCCAATATTGGCAGAGTAGATTGATATTAGCCGATAACTCATCCGATATCACTAATCCGATTTTATTTGTTATACACATTTGCAATGTTGTTAACGTTACTTTAAAAAAGTAATGCAATAGCTACAACTATTTTCTATAAAAATCTAACTCTACTAATTAGATAAAATAGCGGCTATAGTTGTTACATATTAAATGTAGCATAGCAAGGCACTTAAAAAACTATGTCTAATTTTTTTTCATAAAGTAAGGGCGAATATATTAAAATTTAAAATATTAATAAATATTTTTATAATAATATTTTTATAATAAAATATTTTATGATTTTAATTAATACATAATGTATTTGTTTTTAAAAGAAAATGTCTCTCCATATTTTTATCTAAAAAACATATTTTTCACTATAAACATCCTGACTAAAAAATCTCTCAACTGGCATATAGGTATTATATTTAATGGAGGATGGTTTTGAAAAAGAGAACTCTGATTGTGAGATCTGATATATGATCTCAAAAAATTTGATATATAATCAATATTATTTATATATCAAAAATTCGAGGACGAATCTTCCTTCATAAGAGCTGTAATTAATTCATCAAACATTTTTGGGATGTTAAAATATAAGTAGTTTTTTTTTAAATAATAATATTTTATCAATTAATTTTAATCGTGGGATTTTCTCTGTTGTAATAATTATACTTTAATTATTATTAATTTTCATACCTTTAAATGTAACTTTAAATTGTAAGAGGAAGTTTTGTCTATATCTTTTGGCTTACATAATTTGTATATAACTGAGAGAGTTTCACTATCAATATTTACTTTATAAACATGGAATACTCCTGATTAAGTAAAAAGCCCCCTTTTTTTGTTTTGCCTTTTCCTAAATAAATTAATTATCTAAATTTTTTTTTTTTAAAGATAAATCTTTTATTAAGAACTTTATAATAATTAATACATTGAACGTTAAAATTAAAACATATATATGTAATTTAAAAAAATATATATATTAAAAATGTCATGTGAACTATTTATATAAAATCTATAAAAAAACTGTATAATAAAAAAAATAAAATAATTAGTATAGTAAATTGTATATTGGGTGGGAGGAGGTCAAGAAAGAGAGCCATGGATGGCAATGCAGTTAGATCTGCATATATCAATAGATATGCGCTGTCTGAGATAGAAGCATTCCTGTGGGTCACCCGTGATGGCGCGGATTTTTTTACCGAGGGATTTGATGAAGGTTAGGGCATGATTGCCAAAAGAACCGGTTGTGTCGGATACGATTGGTATGAGATTGCAATTGGTTAGGGAAGTGTATTTATTAATTTTCGGTTTTTAGCTCGCATGAATGAGTTCTTATTAAAGGAGGGAGCAAATCGGTCGATGCAGGTATAGTCCCATGCTAATGGAATTCCATTACTCCATGCTATTAATGTCAGCCCATCTGGACGTATATTATTTTCGGTTGAGAGGCCACAGGGTCGAGGGTTGTTGGAATTTGAGCTGAGCGTAGAGCACGGAGAATGGTGCCGTTAACTGCACTGTGTCGAGAATGTCTGCCTTTAGAGAATCGACAATGAAGAGGATGATGTCCAAAACAATCAACGGGTTGGGAACATAATGTACATGTGGAGTTGGCCAGTATATTACAACAAAGACGGAGACCTATTGCTATGCGTAATTCTTCGTTTGTTACGAGAAGTCCTAAGTTTGAGCTGGGCAAAGCTTCTACCCATTCATAGCCCGATAATCTATAGACATTTATGATTATGAGTCTTCTTTCAAAATTTTATACCTTTTTTTTTATTGTGATAATTTTTTTTAAAAACGGTTTCAATGTAGAAATAAAATACGATATAAAATATCAAAATAAAATATACTAAAAAAAATAAATAATTTTACGGAAAAAAATATATATAAATTTTGTATAAAAAACAATAAAACATGTCTAAGGTGTTGGCAACTATTGATAAAAACACTGTGCTAATGATACCAGCATTTTTTTTAATTCTGTTATAGCAGAAAATGGGATAGTCTTTGCTGCAAAATAGCAATTATAGTCCCAGGTCAGTGAGAAACCGTTCATAAAGAGGAACAGGGATAACGTAATGTCTTTTAGTTTAAAAGGACCATTGTTCAAGAGTGAATAGCGTATTAACTTTTTGAGGGAAGCAAGGCGAGGTTACCATCCGCGGGAGAACTTGCAGTGTAAGGGATGGTAGACTTTGATTCGATGGACTGGTCACAATTGATGCAAATGGAGAATAAAGCTACATTACAGTCAAGACGAAGAGCTATGAATATGCATAGTTGTTCAATGCCTTTATTAGAACTGGGGATGGCTTCCAATCATTCATGGCCTGGCTTTGAATTTTGTCTTATTTGGTTTTCCTCGAAACGCCTGTTCGAGATGGATATTCGAAGGAACGGGTTATCAAAGCATCCCAATATTTTTAAATGCTGGAGGCTGATGGCAAGAGGTGAAAAGGTAAGGGCCTTAGATAGGTTAGGATATATAGGTGGACATTATTGATGATGACTTGAACGGTTAGAAGGGATGAAATAAAGGCTGATAGAGAAAGTAATATAGAGATCGACCGATGCCACCTTATTGATTGAGGTTGTGGCCTGAAGCCAGGATGAGTATGAAAATTTTATATTCAATATATTTTCACTTAGAATCCGTTATTCTGTTTTTTTATTCTTTATTTTGCTTAAATATTATGCAAATTTAGTCATATAATCAAAACCCTACGAGTATTAGGCATGTAAATTTGTTTTAATCTCGGATCCAACAATGTTGAAACATATGATTCTTAGCACAATAAATCTTTGGGATATTTCTGCATTTTAACCAAGATATTATATAGAATTTATTTTCCTGTCTTGTTATTATCTTTTTTTATATTATTTAAAATTCATATTTATAATCTCCATATATAAAATTAAAATCACAACTGTAGGATTTTGGGATCTGATGTATCAAGTGTCGCTTTATAGAAGAGCTTAAGAAAAACCTTCACCCTCTTTAATGTCTTTTTTTTTAAACTCAGTAAAAAAATCTTTAAAGTATTTTATAATTCAAAAAAAATGTAATTTTTTTAAAATTTAAGTTCATATCATTTATTTCATGTTTAAGGTTTCTTAATATCGATTGATTCCCTAGTAATTATTATATCGTCTAAATATAATGCTACACCAGCATGCTTTTAATAACGAATCCATTGCTTGTTGAAAATTTTGAACAAATTTGAAAAAATTAGATAAAGATAAAAAACTATAGACCTTTGTCTTTTTACCTCACCCATATTGCTATGTAGTCCACTACTGGTTTTTTTATAATTTTTTCCTCACCATTTAGAAATTTTTAATAAGTGATGTTTGATCGACATAAATAGTTATACTTGTCTCTGTCCCATATGCCCCAATTCCATACTCGTAACAATAGTGAATAAAAAAATAGTTAATCATGTAATATAAAACACATACAAATGATAGAATAGGGTTTAGGGTTTTATTTGATTAATTATTTATAGTAAGAATAAATTAATATTTAGTCAAAAAAATTAAAAAAATATTTTACAACTTTACTGGTATAACCATATTTCTTTGGGTAAATTTATAATCAGCTAATGTAAACAATTTATTATTTGTCGGGATGTGTATACATAACTATCTATCTTAGGAATGATAAATTTTGGACCTTAGTTTAGGTTCGTTTAAAGAAAATAAGGGGATTACACGTTTCCTGTTGTACTATGTACCCAGCCCAGTGTACTCTACTCTACCTGGTATTCTTGATAAAAAAGTTATTCATAGAATTTGGCTCTAACCAGTTACTGCTTTAACAAATTTTTAGTATATGGAAGCTTCTTGCTATGACCTTCATATTTGCTATCGATATCTGCATTCTCGTATATTTTAATATGCAAGTTATCAATAATGGTCTATTGCAAATTATTTTTTTAGGGAAATTCATTAATAATATTTATACTGCTTCCCGTGTCTAATTTCATTCTGCAGGCGCGTACGATTTGGTCTGGGGGGGGGGGGATATTTTTAAGAAATATCATTGAGCATAAATTTATTAGGACTAATAACTTTTCTAATACACAATTATAAATTATGTGAATTATAAATTATGTGAATTATAAAAAAATTATATGTATAAACCGGCATATAAAAAACTATAAAATAAATGTGAAATATAAAATATAAAATATAAAGTGAATATAACCACCATATGAATCACTTAAATGACCCAAAATAAAAATTTGAATTTTTAAAGCCTTTAAAATTTATATATAAAGTATAAAAAATTTAAATGTTGGAAATATAAATTAATACACAAAAAGTTTCTTAGGAATAATTGTATTTTGTATGTTTTGAGCTAATTTTTAAATTATCTCACCTTGCTTGGCGTTAAATGCCTATGAATATTCAAAAGATCCAAACCATTCAATCTACTTTCAGAAGTTTTACTTCATAGGTATGTTTTTCAGAGACTTGCGCCCGAAATTTTTTAAAAAAACACCCGGGCTGGGCCTGAAAATGTTTTTAAAAAAATATCCGGGCCAGGCTTTATTTTTTAAAACCAAATATTCGAAATCGTCACTATTAGCTATAAAAATCAAAAATAAATATAATTTATTTTAGTTTTTTAAAAAAAAAAAACTGGCCGGGTCGAAAAAAATTTTGAAAA